CCGTATTTGTTTCTAAAATCATTCTTCATAATTAAGAATCAGACGTTTTTGGAAGCTTGACCATTCATTCAATACACATTCACAGAGCACTTATTATGTGCAATGTATCCTGACAAGTACAATGTGTAATTCAGTGCTAGTTTCCTATTGCTGTTGTCACAATTATCACAGACTTGTTGCTTTAAAGCCACACATTAATTACCTTACATTTCTAGAGATGTAAAGTCCAAATTGGGTCTTATGGGGCTACACACAAATTATTCTCAGGGCTGCATTCCTTTTGGAGGCTCTGGGAGAAAGTCTGTTACCTTGCTTTTCCTCCCAGGGGAGGGCTTAAACAATTGTTCTAAGTAAAGGTGAAATCATCAGGGATACAGACAAAAAAAAAAAATCAAATTTCTCTTTTTTACAAATTTGAATTGAAAGACTTTAGAAGAAAAAAAAGCACAGCACTAGGTTGGAGGTGAAGCAGAGTGAGAGGAGATGGGACCCATGAGTCAGAGTCCTCTGACCTTGAAGGACCTTATAATCTCCACAGCAGGCAGTTCACTCACTAATACAAGGAAATGAAGCAGGGAGGGGAAAGAACACCACAGGAAGAAAGCCAAGTTGGAAACAGCTAGCCATCATTTCCAGAGGAAAACATTATCATAGAGGGTTATGCTGATTTCTATCCAAACTCCATGACCCTCTACAGCCCAGGATCTCCCCAACTTCAGTTGCACATAGATCAGGAACTTATTCTCCTAAACTCAACTGCTTACAAGGTTGCTTGCTTCCATTTAGGATATGTTTGATTTATTGTCATCTTCAATATTCTAGTGATTCTAATTGTGGAAAACTCATTTTAACTGAGCCTAATATAATCACAAATCCATCTGATACCAGACACAGGCTCTGTCTCTGCCCAGTCCTTCTCAGAACATTGGATCCAGAGATGTTTTAAGACCCTGACCTGAGAGTAAAAAATATATATATCAAGAAAGAGCCAGTCCCTATACTTCGAGATCTTTATGATTCTAGGCATTGAACCAAAAGCTGGCTTGAGGTCCAATTGGCAAATGCTTCCCATGCTCCCCTAAATCCCTGACTGGACACCTGCTGAGCTTCCTGTGCTGGTTCCCAGGACTTTGCTTCATGGAGGCTTCAGCAGAATAAGATGCAGTCATTCAGGGTAAAGGAAAAGGCTTGGTTCTCTACTTAACCACCCTCCTGGCACTGAACATGTAGGCTTTCCACACCAGGCAATGCTCCAATTCTCTGCAGACACCAACTGGGTGTCCTAGAGTTCGATTCTAACACTACCTGGAGTTAGCGCAAACCCATAGGTTAAGGGCTCAGTTCCCCACTTCAAACACCAATTGCAAGGCCCAGGTTGTCAGCTGTGCCTCTAACCAACTGGCTATAAACTGGGGGTTGCCAAGATCCACTCCTCAAGCTTGATTATTTGCTAAACAGCAGGAAAGTGCTTTACTCACTGTTACAGATTTATATAAAGGATACAACTCAGGAACAGCTAAATGGGAGATGCACAGGGCAAGGTATGTGGGAAGGGACGCAGAGTTTCTGTGCTCTCCCTGGACATGCTAAACCTCCCAGCACCTCAGTGTGTTCATCAACCCAGAAACTCCCCAAACCCTGTTGTTTAGGGTTTTTATGGAAGCATGATTGATTAAATCATTGGTCATTGATTATGTCATCTCCTATATCTCCCGTGGAGGCAGGACAGGGGGAGTGCTGAAATCTCCACCCTCTAATCACCCTAATCACATGGTTAATTTCTCTGGTAACCAGGCCCCATCCGCCAAAAGTCACCACATTAGCATAACTCAGGGATGGTTGAAGTGGACTTTTTATGAATCACAACAAATGCTCCCTTATCCCTATCACTGAGGATATTCCAAGGGTTTTTGATGCCCTGTGCCAGGAACCAGGATGTAAGATGGCTTATTGTATCACATCACACAGGGGTTCTCTGCAGTAGTATGGGCAGGTTCAACTCCCTTCTCCCAGCAGAAGCTATGAAACTTTATGTTTAACACTTTTCAACAGGCTAGGATCTTTCTTCTTCAGCTGCCTCCCAGACTTTGCTTGGGGCCACTTTCCTCCCTCTGCCCAACTAACCATAGTCAGTGCCAACACCTCCTCAGAGGGTTGATCTACACTCTCATCAGAGTTACTCCAAGTCTTGGCTCACCCAGAACACTCACATCCATCTGAGCACCTTCCCTGAGGACTCAGCTGGACACTCAAGGCCACTGGGTTCCAAGGGTTGGGAGGTAGGAGCATTCTGCCTCAATGCAAGCATAAGGAGGTGAACCACCTGTGTGGAATTTTAAAATTATAATAAAACTGGCCGGCTGGGTGATATAGTTGGTTAAGAACATGAGCTCTGAGCAACAGGGTCACCGGTTCGATTCCCTCATGGGCCAGTGAGCTGCACCCGAGCTAAGCTGCCGTTGAGCTGCCAAAGGGCAGCCAGATGGCTCAGCTGGTGACAGCACGTGATCTTAACAACACAGTTGCCGGTTTGACTCTTCCATGGGATGGTGGGCTGTACTCCCCCGCAACTAGATTGAGAGCGGCGATTGGACTTGGAGCTGAGCTCGTGCCCTCCACAAATAAGACTGTAGGACAACAACTTGACCTGGAGCTAATGGGTCCTGGAAAAACACAATGTTCCCCTTCTCCAACTCCCCAACACTGTTCCCTTCCCCAATTTCCCAATACAATCTTTAAAAAAAAAAAATGTAATAAAACTAAGTCAATCTTATTCTTATCACCTTGTATAACAATGCTAACAGTGTTAGTGATACAATAGCCCTCACACAAAAATATTTTTTTTGTCTAAGTTCTAAACAATTGCTAAAAGTTATCACTTTTTAACACTAATCCACTAAAAATATTTTATGCTACATGGGAGTTAATTTGAAGAATTATCAGTTACATAGTAAAATTCAGCCACATTAGCTTTCATAGCAAATTAATAAGAATTTATGATCTTTTAAGTTCACTTCAGGTGCATTTTGTGACTCCAACCCTTGCAGTAGAACATAGCTCTGCTTTCAAAGCAGTAAATTTAAAATAAACAATCTTAGTTGTATGAGACTTTTCTGGTTTATCTTTTTATACTGAGGTAAAGTTTCAGATGAGGTCAGACACAAAAATCTCTGCAAACAGCCAAAATAAGCCTTGACCAACATACAGTAAAACAAGGTTTCATATTATTCCTTGAACACCAGCCCACAGAAACTCTGGAGAAAGCCATTAACTATGCAACAACAAAATGTAAAAAAAAAATTGACATAAAAAAACAATCAAATTTTGAATACTGCCAGAAGACAACAGGTGATGGTCTTATGTGGCAAGGGAGGGAGGAAGGGAGAGAGGGGAGAAAGGACGATGTTTGATGCTGTACATTTTCACCAAGTCAGCATTCCTTCTAAAGCAATGGATCAAATAACATCAGTGTCAATGCTCGTTGTCTCCAACTTTTGCAGATCTTCACAAGTTTTACCAATAGAAATTTATGATGAATTTTCAATTGTGGAGATCACTGAAAGCTGCAAGAAGGATCCCAAGGAAACAAGACCTGGTATTGTAATTTCTGGAATTTATTGTGAAGTGTGATTTGTATAAATCTCTGCCAACATATCCATGTTTAAGACCTTTCCTAATTATTTGTTATCTGTTGCTTCAAATGAGAAAAACTTTTCAAAATTAACAAGTGTTCTCTGATCACCTACCAGTGAAGACAGGGTGACCAATCTAAGTGTCTTATCTACTGAACGTGAAGACGAGTGTATTACTTTCCTAGTGCTTCTGTGACAAAGTGTCACAAACGGGGCAGCTTAAAAGAAATTATTGTCTCATAGTTCCGATGTACTGGCAGGGTCATACATTCTTCGAAGGATCTAATGAAGAATCTGCTCCTTGCCTTCCTCTTAGCTTCCAGTGTTTGCCAGAAATTCCTGACAATCCTTGGCTTGAAACTGCATGACGCCCATCTCTGCCTTCTTGATCGCATGGCGTTCTCCCTGTGTGTCTGTCTTCACATGGTTGTCTTCACTCTGAGTGTCTGTCTCTCCACTTGAGTTCTTCTTTTCAGGACACCAGTCATTTGGATGAGATGCCCACCCTACTCCCGAATGACCTCATCTTAACTAAGTGTGCCTGTAATGACCCTATTTCCAAATGAGGCCATATTCTGCGGTACTGGAGGTAAGACGGAGGAGGTGGGGTGGGGTTAGAGCTTAACAACTCCTTGGGAGGGGGATAAACCAAAATTCAACCTACAAGGAGGAATTTTCACAAATTCTTTGCAAACTTGCAGACATTACGGCTCCAAAACTTCAAGTACAATGTTACTGTATGTTACTTTAACACATAAATGCGTATGTTTTCTCCCTCTAAAAAAAATACACTGTTGCAATTTAAAAGTATCCATCACTTTTTCTTTGACTGCTGTATTTTTTTAATTTAACTGGGATGATTATATGTACTAACCTCAACAAAAGAAATTTTTCACTATCTGCGTTTCTTTTCTAAACATTGTTATTATTCATTTCATTTCACCATTATTACTGAAAATAATTTTGTCAAAATGACGCACTCGCATTTGTCACACCCGCCGGCACCCCACCGCTCAGAGCCAGGCAAAGCCACCAGCCTCCAGGAGCGCGACCCCTCCAGGCGCCCCTCCCCAGAGATGCTCACTTTCCCAGCAGGCTGCGCAGCGAGGCTTCCCATCGCCTACAGGCCACAAGACGACTGACGCAACACAAGAGGACCCCGACAGACGGTTCCTCCCACACTAGAGGGCGCCTCGTTCCCTGACTCCACAGGGTGCTCTCTCGCTGCCTGAAGCCCGCCCAGCTCGCCTCCTCTGAAGAGGCCAACACCCTTTCTCCGCCCTCCCCGCGGTTGCCAACGAGGCAGGCTCTGATGCTCATGCGCAAACACGTCCACCACGCACCTAAGTACAGCGCATGCGTCCTCTCTTCTCCACCTCTCCGCGCAGCCTCCCTTGGAGTTTCCAGTTCCGGCTTCACGGGGGCGGGGAGAAGTAAGGAACATGAGGCTGTCAGTCGCCGCCGCCATCTCTCATGGCCGTGTATTCCGCCGCCTGGGCCTTGGTCCAGAGTCCCGCATCCACTTGTTGCGGAACTTGCTTACGGGACTAGTGCGACACGAACGCATAGAGGCGTCATGGGCGCGCGTGGACGAGATGAGGGGTTACGCTGAGAAGGTGAGAGGAGGGGTCACGCAAAGTGGGTGCGGGGCGGGACGCTCTGGTCCACCACGCGGGTCTGGGTGAGGGGGCGGGGTCCGGCTGGACTTGAGGAAGGAGTGACACCGCCCTGGTCGCCCTGCCTGAAGTCTGAATCCCCCACTACCCAGAGCTGAGCCCACTCCTCCCGCCCCTCAAGTGGGAGACTGGTTAGGGCTGCGGGGTTAGGGGTGGCGTGAAATAAAGCGAAGTTTTGCTAGGGGAATGAATTAGAAGAGTAAGATTGGCGCCTCGTTTCTTGCTCGGGTTGCATCAGCGATGTTATGTCCTCACAGCTCATCGACTATGGGAAGCTGGGAGACACAAACGAACGAGCCATGCGCATGGCCGACTTCTGGCTCACAGTGAGTGCATACTATCTACTGTCTGCCACCCAAATTTCATCCTTTGCTCCCTGAGTGGGAGAGAGTTAGAGAGAAGGCGACTGGGCAGAATTAAGCGAAGGCACTCACTTATAGACAAATGTGAACTAAATTAGAAACAAATACCTTAAATTGTTGGATTTGATGTGAATCTGAATCTGCATATATGCCTGTAACTGACCCCACCAAAGTAATTTTGTTACTTTGACCATACCACATTAGAGGGTGACGGGGTGTGTGTGTACATGTACATGTATGTACCCAACTTTTAGGTGTGCTGAAAGCTAAATGTCTCTGCAGTGGTGCCTGACTGTTCTCTCCTGGACGACTCTCCCCTTCTAGGAGAAAGACTTGATCCCAAAGCTGTTTCAAGTACTGGCCCCTCGGTACCAAGGTCAGAATGGGGGCTACACGAGAATGCTGCAGATCCCAAATCGGAACAAGCAGGATCGGGCCAAGATGGCAGTGATCGAGTATAAAGGGAACTGCCTCCCACCCCTGCCCCTGCCTCGCAGAGACAGCAACCTTACACTCCTCAACCAGCTACTTCAGGGGCTGCGGCAGGACCAGGAAGCAAGCATCCGCACCTCCCACACAGCTCAAACACCACGGATTTAACTGGAGCTAAAGGGTGTGTGGCCCTCATCAGTGCCCTCGATCATAGGCCTTTGCAGCTCTTTTAATCGCTAAGAAGAACTAGAGCTAGAGTAGTGAAACAGACAGTCGTAATGGAGCCCAGAACCTCTGGGGAGCCAGATAACCCTCTTTGCACAATAGATAAAATTCCTTGTATAAATATATGTAAACTGATTTTTTTTTCTCCCTTTGGGATTTCTGAGAATAAGAACTATCCAAATGCTCAAGTCTCCATGGGATAGTAAATTCACAGCATATGTTTCTGACTCTTAGATCTGGATTTTGTTTGGATAGACAGTTTTGTTTTTCTTAATGCCAGTTTATATAGGCATGAATCCTATAATTCCAAAATGGCCCCAAAAGTTGACTGCGTTTTGACATTAGCATAGAGACTGAGCCCCTGGAATTTCATAGAGAAAGATTAGTTCCTGACAGGAGCCGGAGAACAAACATCTAGAAGTGAATCCTCCATAATGATCTGGTACCCTGAGCACCTTCAAGGAACACTACAATCATTCTGTTTCTAAGCAGGATGACATATTCCCCTCATGTGCTCCCCTCCAGTCCTGAATGGGCCTCAGAGGAGAAGACCTCAGAACTCAGATGTTCTGCCATCCTGGCCAAGGGAGTAGAATCATTCAGCACAGGATGTGAGACTCCAGAATTAGCTCCTTCCTCTTGGGGTAGGAGTTGGGGTGGGGGGAAGAGTGAAGGGAAGAGTTGAAGTTGGAGGAGGATTAGGAAGGTAAACCTCGGAATTTCCTGGAAGTTGTTTATTGTTGTCAAATCTGGGCCTCTCTGGGAACTCAGAAAAGGGAAATCTGGCTTTGAAATGGCCAGAGTATGTGAGCAGTGGGAAGCCAAACTGGGCCCAGCCAAGCTGCCCTTCCCTCGAGGCTCAGAGGCTTGACTAGGGTGGTAGTCATAGGAAGACTCGGTGCTGTCATCCCAGCCGAAACTTTTAATAGCCTGATAGTCCTCGTGGACTTGACAGTTCCCGTATCCCTAATATAGTGGAAAGAAGAGATTTTATCTTAGGCTGGACCTTCAGATTGTATTGGGCCCACCAAACCCATCCGTTGTCTGAGATAAGGGTGAAGGTGGAGAGGTCACTGGTCTAGCAGAATGATGCCACCTTCAGTGACAGAGGTATTCTGGTACTATTGCACTGCAGCTGCTGTAGTCTGACACTCATCTATTCCCAGTAGGGTTCTCCGTCTCTCCTCCTGCTCCAATTTGTCATGTTATTATCAGAAAGCTCTTTCTGACATTACATTTCAAGTGACATTGTAGATATTCAAAGCACTTATTGAATAAATCTACAACTCTGAATGCTACCAAAAAAAACTCCATCCCCTACCTGTCTTGACATGAACATTCACCTCGGCTAGATAACTTGAAGCACTTTCCTTAAACTTAAAACCACATCTTTAAGCATTGGTAATAGGTGAGTTAGGGCTGACTCATAGCTGTTCCTCTTACCCCAGGAATGTACCCACTTTGGAGCTTTCAGTAATTCCCTGAGTGCTTATTAAGCATCTGCTAGAACCCAGCATCAATTTAGGCTCTTAGAGATAAAATCTTTATCAAAGTGTTTGCCATATGTTGAAGCCCTGGGAGATACTAGGGGTACGTACACAGATGAGAAGAAACCTCTGCCTTCAAGGAGCTCAATCTAATGGCCCACTCCCAATGCACAGTAGTTCAAAGGACACTTTACTATTTCGGCACCCCCTTTAATAATTTGGCCCAAATAAGAGTACATGAATCCTAGAACTTACTAAAGACTCAGGGATAACACGGGAAATAACACTATAGGTTTTCCTACTCTGGCCTGTAAATGATAACTTTTCCCAGTAGTTGTTAGAATATGTCTATATAGGCACCTCTTTAACAAATTGCAAATCCCCAAGAGAAGGGCCTAGATGCACTGGAATTCCCTCGCTACTTTGAGAGTTTTTCTGTGTCAAGATCTAGTTCTTCACTGCAAGGTTGACTGTTATGCCCACTCCTTTAAAAAATAACAAATGAACTCTAGCCTCAACAGATCAGTGATACAGTACAGGCCCAATATCCAGAGGAGACAAGACTACAAAAGCCAGTGACTCATCTAATTAACAAGTCATGTGGAGTTTATTTCCATAATGTTTCTGAAATCTGCAATCACCTCTCCCCCTCGTCTGAAATTCAAGACGTCTATCCTGGATTACTGCAACAGCCTCCTAACTTGCCTTCCTCCCCAGTATAGCCAGAGTAATAGAAATCTGATTATCTAAATTCTCTGCTTGATGAACTCCAGTGGCTCCACCTTTCCTGTAAGAAAAGAGTCCAGATTACTTACCATAACTCTCCTTAGTGACTAGGCATCCGCTCACTACTCAAGCTCCTTCCCTTGCCTCTTGTTTTTTGTTTGTTTGTTTTTATTTTTTAGCGGAACCATCCTGCCACCTGTTGGCCGCTCAGCAGCAGCTCAGCTCAGGCCGGGAATTGAACTGCTGTTGCTCAGAGCTCACACTCTTGAGTGAGCTCTTAACCAACTGAGCCATTCGGCTGGCTCCTTCCCTTGCCTCTTAATTTTATGCTCCAGAAGCATGGAAGTCCTTATTTTGACTGTTTCCCTATGCACAGCCCCCTTACCACCTTTTGTTGATGCAGTCTCTTACCACTGAGAACCCTCTTCCCACATTTACCTACCTAAGGTACACAGACTTTTGGCATCTTCTGGGTGGCTCCCCTGACCATCCACACACCTAAGTTCATTACTTTGTGAACGTAGGTGTACTACAGTGTTTCCATAATCCACTGAATTGACCACATGGTATTACAGTTCCCTGCAGTGGACTGGTTCCCAAACACCCATCCCAGATTACTCTAAAGGAGTCAGTATTTCCATCCCCTTGCTATTGATTATGGTTCAGTGATGGACAGACCTAAACTTATTTAATTCAGGCAGTGAGAATCCAGGCTCTACTCCGCTGGATAAGAGTAAATTAGCATATTATTCTGAGTGCTACGGGGACCTGGCTTTAGGCTGAAGATGACACTGAAGGGCAGATCAGAACAACTAAAAGGAACTACATAGTAACCAGTGGTTCTTCCCATTTGAGTTGGGTTTTCTGTTCATTGCTACAACAAGTAATCTGATATATTAATTTGTACTGTTGAACCTTTAGTGTTTCTCAAAAAATTTTTACTGTGACCCACAGATCAAAAAACATTTTAGCTCAGAACACAATATTCACGTACATATATAATTGAAACTAAAGCATCACAAAACCTTTACAAATATGCAGCACACTAATATTTTCTACTTTTATCTAGTTCACTTTTCTTAAATGCTGGTCCCAATTCACTAAGTTGATTTTACACCTCACTAATGGATTACAACCTACTCCAAAAAAACACTGACCTCAACCAGCATTAATTATAGTGATTCACCGTTGACTTTGCAGATAAAATCCAGACTTATATCATGACACAAACCTCCTATGGCCTGGTCTCAGCTACCTCAGTATCATCTACCCTTATCTGCTTCCAGCCTACATAGGACACTGCTTGTTTTCTGAATATATTATACCTTTGTGCAGGACGTTGCCTCTACTATAACGCTTTACTCTGTTTTAAGTTACCTCCTACTTGTCATTCAAAACTCTGCTCAGAAGTCAGTTTTTGAGGCCTTCTCCAAACTCCACCCTCCAAATGGGGCTGTCCATTTCTGTGTGCAGTTGCAGTCCTCAGGACATACACCTTTCAAAGCATCCATCACACTTGGGCCGGCCGAGTGGCGCGATGGTTAAGAACTGGCTTGGGATGCCAGAGGGCCCCGTTTCGGATCCCACATATGAGGGCCAGTGACACTGCTCTCCACAGCTAAGATGCTGAACAACAGCTCAACCTGGAGCTGGGCAGTTGTGAGTCGCCGGTGATGGCATAGGCTGCAGCCCCTGTGGCAGTGGGCTGCCATGGGCAGTGGGTTGCCATGGGCTACTGTAGCTAGCAGCCAGCATGAGCGGCCAGCAGCCGCAGTAAGCGGCCGTCCAGAAGCCGGCGACTGATCTGCCTCGCCCGGGAAGAGCGCAATGATGGTGCCAACTTGGGCCAGTGAAGCAACGTCCTCCACAACTGGACTGAAGAACAAAACGACAGCAACTTGTCTGTTCCCCTTCCCCCAATTCCCCAGCACTGTTCCCATCCCCCAATTCCCCAATTAAAAAAAAAAAAAAAAAAAGCATCCATCACACTAAACTACAATTGCCGGTCTGTATGACTGATTCCCTTCACTCAGCTGAGTTCCTGAAGCCAGGAATTGGGAATCCTTCTGGTTACCTTTATTCCTACCAAAGGACCTCATCATAATGGGTGCTCAGTATATGTTTATTAAATGAGTAACATACATGTTGTCCATGACACATTCAGCTGTCTGGCTGAGCTTTACAAAACTAACATGGTACCGTGTGCAGGAATAGTGCTAAGCTACACCGCTGAGTGTACCAAGGCTAAAGACATGGGCTTCTTCCTCTCCAGGCACTTAAGTGCGCATAATGACTGTCAAAAATGTAAGCAGTATCTAATTTATTAACCACACATTTCATATTCCAGTTTCCTAAAATCTTTCTTACTAACTTACAAAAAGTACCTATCTATTTTCCAAGACTTAGCCAAAAGCTGATGTGTCTTTTGTGAAGTATTCACTGAATTCCCAAGCAAAGCTAAGTACTTTTCCAGTGGTCCAGTTTCACACTGTACATCCTTCATTGCAGCAAAGGCACAATTACGTTGTTTGGTACCCTTTACTAGATAGTGAACTCCTTGAAGTTAGGAGACATATCTAATTCACTATCATGACATCCAGTAGAGAACATAGGTCAAAATAGGCATCTAAAAACATCTATTGACTGCAATCAACACGTATAAAGTCCTTAGCCTAGCTTAGCATTTAAAACTAACTCCTCCCTTCCCCAGTTTCCTCTTACTTCATCTGAAAAAGAACTTCCTGTAATGCTGATTTCCCATTGTTCACTACTGGATAAATGTCTGTTACCCTTAAGGCTTTCCTCTTCATGCCCTTAAATACTTGGGCATATTGTAATTCATGTCTCTGACTGGAACATGAATTTGGTAGTTATACTTGAGATTCTCTAATAATAGAAATGTCCTATGTGTCTATGTTTTGAGGAAAGGAGTTTAAACTTTTCTGACATTTTGCATTATGTTCCACAATGTATATGTTTGTTACAACTTAAATATTGTACATCAAACACACACACAAACT